TTAAATTACAATTTTATGATGATTAATTAAATTACAATTTTAAACAAACTTTTTTATCAAATTAAAATTAAGATTTATCAAATTAAAATTAAAATTTACCAAATTAAAATTAAGATTTATCAAATTAAAATTTATCGACAATTTAATACAAGTTAGTAGGAAATAATCGGGGCATATTTTAAGAAAGGAAATCAATATATATGAGATTATCGCAAGGCTCATTTAATTGATTAATTAAATTACAATTTTAGACTACTTTTTTTATCAAATTAAAATTGAAATTTATCAAATTAAAATTAAGAGTTATCAAATTAAAATTTATCGACGCAATTTAATGCAAGTTAGTAGGAAATAATCGGGGCATATTTTAAGAAAGGAAACTACTTTAAATATGAATAGAGCGCGGTGCAAGCGTATATGACACTTTATGAAATATGGAAACGATATTCTCCTTTGTAGAAATTTTCCATCGTTTAGATGCTTGAGAAGCTTAAAGAAAAAGTGACTGCATAGGCTTTTGAACGACTATCGTCTTATTATAGATGAATTCACGAGGGCGGCAAGTAGTAACGGGGTGAATTCTTCATACGTCGGGGGAACAATATGCTCTCGAGTTACGGAGAATTTTTCTCCAGGCACATATTGCGACGACCCTTATCGTTTCACGTTAGGGGAATTCCATTTGGAGACATCGTGCTTTTTTCTTCCTTGCGTCATGATACGTTCGAGCTAACCGATCAAAACTCATACATACAACGGCCGGTTCTTATATCTTTATCGGTTATATCTTTATCTTGCATTCTCTCCTCGCTAATCGTTATCATCCACAAAAAAGAATGTAGCAATTGGACTTTTTGCTATGTTTTAAGCATCTAATTTTCGTTCTTATAGTTGATATTAATGGAAATTGCTGTATTGATTATTTCGATATGAAAAAGATATTAAAATGTAGAAAACATGTTGCGCTTCTAACTGCTTATTCAAACGAATTAGAATATTAATTGAAAATCATATCAACATTATATAACATTATTTCTAATGCATATTGATTGGATAAAATTTCCTTAAAGAAAATAGGACGGAATAAAACATACCCTTGAATTAAATACATATTGAATTTTGCAGTAAAATAGTTTTTTATTGCGTAGGATGAATATCAGAATTAAATATTTTTTAAATTATTTGATAGAATAAATTAATATATTAATATATTATTGTACAACTATAAAATAACATCGAGAAATCTATAATTTCACTTTTACTTAAAATACCCATTTAATTTCTATAGTTTTATTTCTCTCTCTCTCTCTCTCTCTCTCTCTCTCTCTCTCTCTCTCTCAACTAGATACAGATTAACTAATTTTGCAAAAATGGAATTATAAATTAAATATTTTATGACGTAACAAATAAATGTAATATTCTTTCATTAATATCTTCGTTATTTCGTTTAATCTGTTTTCCACGCGTTTTCGACGCGACAGTACGTAACATTCTACAAAATGCGTTGCATATTAATGAGATATGCCTGTATTATAACGCCTGTTATTTATTATCGTGCGTCACGACATCGAGCGTGTTAATTGAATATTTGATAAATGGATGTTGCCACGCTTTTAATGATACCTATCAAAACTGCATTTGAGATATTACAATGACATTACGGTTTTCCGGAAATCTCGTAATCTATCTGCGGATAGAAAATTTTTAATTTGAATGAGAAGAAACTCTAGATAGATTATATACATGTCTGTCCACGTAATTACCGTGCGTTAACAAGCGAGGCAAACGTCTTCGTTTTTGTTTTTGCTGAACAATCTTATCGACTGTTCCGTCGAGAGAGAGAACAGCCAAAGTTTCTTCGCCAAAGTGAGGAGTGGATCCGCAATCCAAAAGTTGTCAAGCGCCACATCGCGATGCCTTAATGGAATTTGAATGTCGTTAGCCGAAGTAACCGGGCGTAAGGAAGGGACGTTATCCCTATTACCACGATGTCGTAGAGTCTCGTCCTACGAATCGCCGAGTTTATTGGAGCACGAAAATGCTGCTGGCTTCGATCGTGTCCTTTGATAGTTTGGGATTTCGTACGCTTGTTTGCGAGCTTATAAGGACTCGGTGCCGTAATTAGCATGTCTCTATTATGCTTCTGTGCCGTAATATGTCATTTTCGAACATGTAAAAGGACACGATTTTCTCTCGTATTACTCAAGAGCGAAAATTCGACCGTGCGAATGATCTCTTCGTAACCATGCAAAGTTTTTGCGCCAATTCAAAGCAACCGGTATTACAATAATTCACAGCAATCTTATAACAAGACGACCGTATAAATTGACTCGCAATAGCAGTTGAATTGCGCTATGCATGGGGAATGCAAGGAAGAATATAAATGGAGAGAATGGAAAAGACTTCCTGGCCGTGAGTAACTTACACGACTGGTTTACGATTAACCAACTTTTTATTCCTATACAATGTGCTTAACTGCAACGTCGGAATAATGGAGCACCATATGCATGATCATAAGAAATAAATATAGTGAGAGGAATCGAAAGGAAAGAGACTGTTTCTAGTATACATTTCATCTTATATTTAATATTCTAATTTAATCTAATTATATTTAATTTTTATTTTACAAAAAATTGTCATTTTATTTATCATAATTTAATTTAGTTGTCATTTTAATTTATCATCGCCTTTTATTAATATACTTTAATTGATTTAATTCATTAAAATAATATAATTAATTAAATATAATTTAATTTTAATTAATTTATTTGTTATCATCTTTTTATTAATATAACAATAAGAAATTTCAACATTAATTCTTGTACGTATAAATTGATACATTATCGTTCTGTCATTATAAAATCAGCTGTTATAAAATTAATGAGATTAATAACAGATTACGTATCATTATGATAAACGAATGTAGCAGAAAGATTAAAGAAAACTGAATGTCGTGATGAAGCGAAGCAAAAGAGAGGGCAGTCATATCTCGAGATGGAATGCTTGAAGATCATCGTTTAAGATTCTAAATAAGAATGACAACAGAGGTTGGACGGAATTCTGTCAATGTGTTTCGCAGGAGAAGTCGACAATACGTCGCCGCTGCTGCAGGTTTCCTCATTTGCGTAAGATAACCGATTTCACGGGAGCTGTGCGCGATAAATTCCTCGGGATAACCTTTCAAATGCCCGGCCGCGACATTCGCGCGACATTACATACCCGCGTGATATTGCAACAGACGGTGCATCAAGCACGATGTTGAGAGAGTCAAAGGGTTAATAATTGCGACTACTCTCAATCGCGTTGTCGCGACGACAATGACGGCGACGAGCGGTTGAAAAAAACATGGCAGATCTGTAAATATATCTAAAATATATCAAACGCCGCCGTCATAATAAACATTCAGCGAGGAAAAAAATACGAGAAAGGAGGGAAAAGTAATAATAAATATATTCAGTGAGAAAAAAATGTGAACAAATCGGCAGGGCCAGCCCTGCCCGATGTTCGCGATCAACAAAATCTCTTGTTCAGCCTGCATAGGTGGATTCTCGCTGGGATGCGGTCTCGGTTGGAGCGCGCCGTGCGTCGAAATATTGAAGAGTGACAAATACAACTTGGACGATCTCTCGACGGACGTGATCGCGTCGGTGTTTCCGGTAGGCGCGGCCCTGGGCACGCTCGTCGTGCCCCTGCTGATCGACAGGATCGGCCGGAAGTGGACGATGATGGCCTTGATTCCGGCTTTCATTGGCGGCTGGGCCTTGCTCATCTGCGCGGGCTCTTTGGTGCCGCTCTTCGTCATCGGCAGAATCGTGACTGGCGCCTGCGGCGGCATGTTTTGCGTTCTGGCGCCCATGTACTCCGCAGAGATCTCGGAGAAACAGATTAGAGGTATAACATATCGGCCAATTAATCCCAGACAATTAAACGGTCGGTCTGAAAAAGAGCCGATAATGATTTTATATAAATGTATCATTATATAATTATTTTTATTAATTTCGAAATGCTACCCAAGCTTATTTTTTTTAAACACCCTGCTCGCATAAAAAGAATATCTTGACATAAGATATAAAAGGAATATCTCGAATAATGGATAATTCAATAGTAATAATGATGTATGCTGCAACATAATAATCGGGATATAATCGTGGATATAATCGGAGTGGAAAATAAAGATGGCTTAGCGAATGAGGTTATTAGCGGCTATCGTCGTTCATCACACGAGCTCGTTCTCCTTGCATCGCTAATGCTTAGAAGATCCGCGAGGAGAGGCAAGAAATAGCAGCTTCATTATGCTATTCTTACTTTCTCGTAACAGGGACGACGGGTGTCTTCTTCCAGTTGTTGCTCGTGCTCGGTATATTATATGCATACTGCACCGGTTTCACGCGAGATGTGATCATGATATCCAGTCTCTGTTGCATCGCGCCGATCGTGTTCGCCATAACGATGATTTTCATGCCGGAAAGCCCGCTGTTCTACTTGACCAAAAATAAGGAAGGAGAAGCGCGAAAGTCCATGCGATTCTTTCGCGGCCCAGATTTCGATATCGAACCGGAGATGGAGGTCTTCAAGGTTGGTTGAGCGTCAATTATAATTTAAATTTGTTAATTCAAATTAAATATTGTGAATTTTAAAACATATGAAAAATATATTAATTCGTCAATTTCATGACTGAAGAAAATAAAAGATAATTTAAAATTCACTATAGGGATAAATCCGTCAATTTTTGTCTTATCCATTTTAAGATAATAACAATGGGATTTATTAATCGTCGTTTTTGTAAACGGAAACAGGAACAAGTGGAAAGGAGCAAGCTCCAGAGATTGAGTTTTTCGGCCTTCACGAACACGCCCGTGTTGAAGACACTGGCCGTGGCCTACGGCCTGATGTTTGCCCAACAATTCAGCGGCATCAACGCAATAGTATTCTACGGGGTGACGGTTCTCGAGTCGACGGGCGTCGGCATGGAATCGCTGATCGAGCTCGTCATTTTCGGCGTCGTCCAGGTGATAGCTTGTGCGGTGGCGGCGCTTTTGATCGACAAGGTTAACTTTAATAAGTTACTGTGACACTCGAGTCGTGTTCCACAGATTACGCGATCTATAATTTATCTATTAGCCGGCTGGCATTACGGCTGCGATCGAAACGTTCGCAGCTAGGGCGTAAGCTACTCATGATGATTTCCGAGGCGGTAATGTGCGTTTGCTTATCGGCCCTGGCCGGTTTCTTCATCCTGAAGAGCTATGATCCGGAACGGGCGGATCGGATGCATTGGCTCCCACTCACGTCGGTGTGCGTCTACGTACTCGCCTTCTGCTTCGGAGCCGGTTAGTGATAATGAGCGACGAGATCGACTCAGACCGCTCCTACTAATCTAGCTAACAGAAATCGCAAAATTGCATGTTACATCCTTCTTCTTTTATTCTTTAGAAAAATGTCGAAAGCCATTATACATATTTTTCGAAGGTTCATTGGAAATAATGTACTCGATCAAAACTAGCCAAAAAAATTTTTTTTTGTTTATTTGTTACGACGTTTCGACCATATGATTGTGTCCTTTTCGTATATACTGGAATATGAGATTAACAATTAGATTTTTAATGATTTGATTAATTGACTAGCGATATTAAGATAATTTATAAACATATTTTTCGTGTGTACATTTCTTAAAATTAAGTCTTTTATCCGAGGGAGAAAAGAAAATCCTTATCTAAACTAGATTTGTGCTCCCCTGTTTATGTGAAATAAGCGAAATTGCTTTCTTGCGATTTTTGATGGCAAATTGAATGAAATGTATTAACAAGGAAAATTTGCTGATTGATTTATGTTAGGTCCAATTCCCTGGGCTTACATGGGCGAGATTTTCCCTACGCGTTTGAAGGGCGCAGCGTCATCCAGCGCGGCTTTCTTCAATTGGTTGCTGGCCTTTATAGTGACGATATGTTTTCCAAGCACAGTTAATGCCCTTGGCATTGCCATGGTGCTTTTTTTCTTCGCCGTGGTGTGCGCCCTGGCCATGTTCTTCGTGCTCTTCTTCATGGTCGAGACTAAAGGGAAAACTTTTACGGAAATTCAACAAGAATACGGGACGCACAACGACAATGGAGAGTAGGATAAGAATTTTTCCGAAATGAAATAGTACGGAAAACAATAATCTCTTGTTCACAAAACAGTTTTTCAAGAAAAGTTTTATATGAAAGATGAAATATAAAGATGAATTATAATAGATGTGAAATTTATAATTTATTTCGTCACACGATTTACGCCCTTTGAAGTTTTTATTTAATATATATATATTAGATGACATGCGATATTATTTTTACAATAAATTATAAAAATGATAGATTTCAGAAACTAGATATGATAAATATAAAGAAGCAGCATCTTTTTTTATCATTTCGTAGTGATAATATTTATTAATAGATTGCAAATTATTGTATGCATTTCAATATTTCATCTTAATATTATCTATAAATGTTTGTTTATCTACATTTATATTTGACTAAAACACATCAAAATTTTCTTACGAAAGTTTATCAAGAATTACAATTACACAATCGACATGTAACACTTTCATCGAATGGTAATTCGACGAACCGTTTTGCTTAAATAATTCTGTCAGGGAACGTGGGCGTGTAATGTCGGTTAAAATATAATTCCCAGATAAAAGTGAATTCCTGACGGGAAGTGGGACGCGCGATAAATAAAAGAATGAGACGGCCAATGTACGGGCGGAGGATGTGTCGGCTAAACTTGAACCGCGATATTATATGCAACGCTACGTGCAACGATACGCATCGTGAGCAGTCATTGCACGCGTATAGCCTTGGCCGAATCGTTTGGAATCGTTTCGTAACAATAGTCGCGCCGAGTCTTCTCTGTTGTTTCATTTAATCGTTTTTCGTTATTTCATTTAAAATCCATCTTTTATTTCGCGTCATTCGCGGATTATTATTTGTCCCGATATATATTTGCAGGAAAAAATGAATATAATAGAAAAGTTCGAACGATGAGAAGCACACATCAGGGTCAAATATAATTATTTTAACGGAATTACCGTCGATTTGATAAAACGAGAGAGACGTCTATTTCTCGTCGAAACGAGATAGATATTCATGAGAGCCATCGATCTTTTACACGCGTTGAAAATAAAAGCGGCTGAATATTATTGCTCGTATACGATATAATTATATTTTGAGGATTGATTGTAACTAGGATTTTTTTTCGCTGTAATGTTTTTTTTTTTTTCTTGAAACGTGCGGAGGCCTCCTCCGATGTCAATAATGATGATGACTCCAACGTGCCCATTTGTCATGCAGCTGCCATCGTTCGGTAGACGATGGCTCGCTTTCATCGATTATGCATTCGAATTTATATTTATGAAGCATCGTGCTGGAACGTCGCGGAGTGTCGCCGCACTAATAATGAATGCTGTCATACGAACTTCTTGAGCATCGGGCGCAGCGACTCCGCGTTACATTCCTGCTGGCATCCAGGCATCCGCCCACTCGAAATTTCCTGTATTATGCGGTTACACGTCCGTGGATTTTTCGTGGGCGACGGAATAGATCCACCCTCCGACCGGAATATCTAATCAAATTCACCTAAAATGCGCATTTCTTATCGCATTGTTTCTGCACCTTATGTGTCTCGTCGCGCGTCTTCATCCTTGTAGCGACTTTGGAGATTCAGCAGCTAACCCTCGTAACCAAGATTAACGCAGGTACTGTCTTTCACACATTTAAGTAGGGGATTCGAGCGATCTCTTAGTGTTTATCCTTAAACAGGATAATCCTTGTCGTGATTATGAGTGCGATCTCTCAAGATTCCCGCGATATTCTTGCTGAAGCGACGCTATGTCTGCTATCAATTTAATTAATCTATAATCTTCTTGTGATATATAGGATAGGCCGTTTTAATCTACGCACTGAAATATCTCAAAATCCATAAGTTTAAGACAAAAATGTTTCAGACAAAAGTTGTATGGCTTGAAGGTGGACATAAGATGGTGCCATTAGTTTCATCTTGAAGAGTCACCTGAAGGTCACGTGAAGATTACCTCCAATTTTTTAAACGGGACACTCTACATACTTTTACATATTCTTATAGCTTGCTTCAAGATCTTTCCACAACACTATAATAAAGTATTTTTTTATTGAGTACTTTCCGAGTTATGAGGCTTCAAATAATCTTTCAATTTTACATAAACCATAAAATATCTAATAAAATATTCTTTTTTCGATTATCTTACCTTAATACTTTTATGTACAAAATAATGAGAGGAATCAATTGGTGTAAAGAAAACACATAATTGTTTCGAAGAAAAAATATGTAATTTGCAATTAACAATTACATATTTTTTCTTAAAAACAACTGTGTGTTTTCTTTACAGCAATTGATTTCTCTCATTATTTTGTATAAAAGTATTAAGATAAGATAATCGAAAAATGAATATTTTACTGGATATTTTATGATTTATGTAAAATTAAGATATTATTTTAAGCCTCACATAACTCGAAAAGTACTCGATGGAAAAATATTTTATTACAGCGTTTTGGAAAACTCTTGAGGCAAGCTACAAGAATATCCAAAAGCATATAGGATGTTCCATTTAAAAAGTTGGAGGTGATCTTCATGTAATCTTCAGGTGACTGTTCAAGCTCAAACTAATGACACCATCTTATGTCCCCTTTCAAGCCATACAACTTTTGTCTGAAACTTTTTTGTCTTAAACTTACGGATTTTGAGATATTTCAGTGCGTAGATTAAAATGGCCTACCCTGTATATTCGTATTTACGAAGAAGGTAACGAAGGTGAGTCAACATTCATGTGCGACTAATGTCGGGATGCGATTCGGTCGTTTCGCCGCCGATTAAATTTCGTCTATAAAACCGAAACTGTGCGTGTGAAAAGGGCAGGGCGCGGTAAAGAAAGGAGAATGGTGGGGTGTGCGCGGGGCAGGAGGGCAGACGCCAGACAAGTTTTTCGCGAGAGCAGGCGCGGTTCTTTACTCGTGGGAAGAGAAGCCGGACTCTTCTTGCGGCGTGCCTGCTATGGAACCCACGGGAGAAATAAGCCCGGAGAAAAATCATGGATGTTAGAGCGATCGAGAACCGTGACGCGCTCGGTTTTCGATACTTCTCCGATCGATCTTTTAGTTATCGCTTGTTGTTTCGTCACTATATCGTTTCGAGACGATTTCATCTGTTCCTGATGCATAAGTTTGTCGAATATTATGCGAGTTTATCGTCATCCTTTGGCAAATTATCCGAGAGATGTAAATTAATTTTAAATAAAGCTCGATACGTTTGAACGATGATGATGGATGTGCACTTCGTGTCTTCACTTCAAAAAAATCTATGGTATGTCTCTATTATAGTCTACCCAATTTTATGTAGTTTGTTTATTTTAGAATATTCATATTTAAAAATGGCAAATATTTAAATGGGACGTGGATAAAAAATCGTTTATGAGATTACAAAGCTGCATCTAATTGTTGTCTGAAAAGCGGATAAATATCGACGAAAGTTATCCGTGTCGCCGATTAAGTAAAATCGCGATTCCTCCTCGAACGCATCACGTTAAGTTTTTCTTTCCGAGAGGAAGAAAGCTGGACGTCGTCGTCGAGAGCGGATCTACTAACAAGCAATAAGCGATACCGAGACATCGCAGTTCCCATTTGGACCCACCGGTGCTTTGAACCCCGCGGCATTTTCCGCAGAGAAGTTGTCGCAGACGGGAAATAAATAAATAGAAAGCACCGTCTCGCGCGTTTCACGTACCTAGTGGCCCCGGTTGACTCGCAGGAAATTGGCAGCAGCCGGAACATACCGGCTACGTGTTTCTCACATACGTGTCGTTCTTCGGAAACACGGAGGATGACTGTATTTCGTGGTGCCTACGGCAATCGGTTTCTCGTGTCGAGACTGGCGGCTTCTCGCGCCTCGATTTTCTCGAATCAAACCAATATTCAGTCCGTCGTGTCTTTCCTCGCTTGATCAAAAGTTCTCTCCCCTCCCTTTCCCTCCCCTTGTCTCGCTCGCTTTCGTTTTGTCTTCTATAAATATCACGAGTGGAATGTAGCTTTTCGTCGAGCGGATTGTTGCGTCGAAAAGGGCTTCTCCTCTTTCTATTCTTATTTACGAAAACATGTATTTGGTTTCGAAATAGATCGCGTCATGTAATCCTTTTGAAATTGCATGGTAGCTGTATTGATGTACTACTAGTGTGTTATTTGTCCATTAACACATTTATCTTTTTGATTATTTTTCCAATCTGAAAAAAATCACACGATTAAATTTTTGCAAAATACATAAGACAGTTCAAAAAATCATATAATCTCTTCTTTTCTCAAATTCTTGTAAAAGTGAGAAAAAAATAACTTACTCTCTCGTATCGAGTATCTCTTATCGGATTATGTTCTCTTTATTCCATTATTAGAGGATTTTACGAGAAAAGGAGAAAGAGGGAGAACGTTTAAAGGGCTCAAAAGCGACAAGTTTAAATTCCCCGATACTTTCTTAATTCTCGTGTAACCATTAACATCAATTCTCTTAATGTATTCGCGGCTCGCTCGAGCGTAATATTCTTGAGTTTTGCAAATATTCTTCAGAGACACGAACAGATGCACCGCACGTTCCCTCCCCTCCCTCTTTGTTTCGCACTTTAACTCTCTCCTCCCTCTCTCTCTCTCTCTCTCGTCATCGCGACAAACACGCAATCCATACTTCAAGGCTCTCGTATGCTCTCGTGCCCCCGCACGCGGATGACTTGGCGGACGGTGCACGCTCGCGCAAAACTCGCGTGAGCCCGCACTCTCATATGCGTGCCCTCCCTCCACGTCGAAAGATTGCACACTGCACCATTGCACCGCGAGGCCAACGGCCTCTCTCTCCGCGTGGTATCGCCCGCTCGTTCGTTCGTTCGTTCGTTCGTACGTAGCGACAGCTCGCGCGACCCGAAGCCTCGACGAGAAGCCGAAAAGAGAGCCGCGAGTCTCCCTTTTTTGTCCCGTCCGCCTCTCGGAGAGATGGTATCGCGAGCCTTCGTGCTCTTCTTGGATTAATATCAATCCCGTTACGATTGTACCAAGTTGTCATGACGTAAATCTAAAGAAATCGTTAGAATAAGATAAGAT